AGAGATGCATGGAGCTTGGGACTCAGCGCTCACTTGGACGCATAATTGAGTGCAGCGCAATTTGGTGATTGCACTTAAGTCTGCCATAGGCAGTAGAGATCTCCACCCCACACTGAACTGTGGCCAGAAGCAGTATTTTATAATAGCCAAACGTAAGAAATAAAGGAACTAGCTCAAAACTGTCACGTGTCTCTGTGTTAAGTAATTTAACCAGAACAGAAATTCCATTGCATTGAAGTTTTAGAATATTTATAGGATAGTGTTATGGCCTGCACTGTATCTAGATGAGCCCTTACCTATCATGTGCTCATAAGTGGGGTTTTTGGAGTTGCCTGGATTTAGGGCATGTGATAACTTAATTAGCACAATGATTGGTTTAGCACAGTTCTGGGTTTGGATAAGGAAAGGCCTGCCCTGGGCGTGGGTGCCATCATCCAATAGGCTTGCGGCCTAGATGAGATAAAAAGGGAAGGGAAGGCGGCTGCTTTCTGCCTCACCTGCCACCGACTGTTTATGAAGCGTCTATGAACATTGAACTGAAATAAACCTTTCCCCCTTTAACTTTGTGTACTGGGTATTTTTGTCTCAGCAACAAGAAAAGTGAGTAAGACAAATAAGATACATCCTATAAGTTTGTACACTTTCTTAAACTGCTTAGAACACGTAGAAGTTGATAGTTTACAGAGGATTCAAGCTGTTCAACATTATTCACAGAACAATAGTTCAATACTTGGTTAGATGACAGGGAAATCAAAGGACTGAAACATTCTATTAAAAAGACATATGTTAAGGCTCTGTCTGGTATTTATGGTGTTAGTAACTTCTAGTTCCTAGAGAGACATGCAGGCTACTGGGCTGCATCCCAGTAGGAGCTCCATCTCTATCTTCTAGGCCATCTTCAGCAGTCACTGACCTATGGGCACCAATCCTTTACCCAGTGTCTCTGTTACCTTTCTTATTGTGTGACAAAATACTGGACACCCAACATTAAAGGAGGCAAGGTTTATTCAGCTCACAATTTGCAGAGGTTTCACTTCTTAGTTGACTGACTCCAAGGCAGGGGTTGCATGGCTGAGGAGAAACAATTCATGGCAGGCAGCAACAACAAGCAGCAGCTCTATTTCTCTGCCTTATCGTCTATCCAAGATAGACCCCTTGGGGGCACCTTTAATCCTAGCATTACACCATTAATCCTAACATCACATCCTTAATCTCAGCGTCACATACTCTAGATCCAGTCACCTCCAAAAAGCCCCACCTATGACTGCATGCAGCTTCGGGGGACGTTTAGACACAAGCCATAGCATCCAGTCTCTTCTACCTTGTGTGGTCAAATTCATATCTTATTACACTGAACTTTTCAAGGGATTTTATGGAAGGACATGAGACATCAAAGAGCAGAGAGGGGCTGGTCAGATAGCTCAGTGGACTAACGCACCTACTTAGAGCCCAGTAGCTGGGGCTTAATTCCCAGCTTGCCATGCAGGCCCCCCCCTCGGGGAGCACTGAGATGGCGATTGAGACTGGGCATGGTTGGGAGTGTGAAAACAGGAAAACTACAAGTCCAGTCTACATAGTGAGACCCTGTAGGACCTGTACTAAAATACATTAAGAAAAAGAGCAAAGGAAAGAAAAGTGCAGAAATGGCATAGAGTTAGTGTTGTAAAGCATCTGTTTTATAGACATTCCTGTGATCCGGTGGAGCTTCCTACTTACCTTGGCCTGTCTCCTCAAGATCTCCTATTTGTGATTACAGTCCTGAGTAGGAAAAAAATTAGCTGCCCATTCGAACATATTTTTCTTTTTAGTTTATTTTAGTTTGCCTATAGAAAATAAAGCAAAGTTGCATGCTTTAGATTAGTGAAATTTGATTTCAAATAACACCAAAGTCAGATATATTAAAGTAAAAAATGGGGCAGGGGAGATAGCTCAGTAGAATAAGTGCTTGCCTGGCAAGCACAAGGGCCTGAGTTCAATCCTGGCAGTGAATAAACAGAGGCTATATTTGGTTATACAAGTCATTTCTAGGGTAGATGAATACCTATGATTTTTTTTTCTCTGTAAAAAGTTTTAACTTACTTTGGAAATATCCTGAATTTGGAGAATATTTTAATATATGGTTAAAATGTAATCTTTTGTTGTACTCTTCTGTCTCATTGCATAAATGTGAAGAGTGTTTATAGAGTAACAGTGTGGTCTGTTTTCATTGTTAATGTAATCACCACGGATTGATTCTTCCTACAAAGCAGGGCTTGTGTGACAAGCACTAAGGTGTCAAGATCACAAGGAAAACTTAACATGCCAAAGAGAGCTACATAGTACAGAATGCTGGGGTAGTGCCAAGAAACAACATGAGTGTTTTCGTATGGTAGCATGTGGTAATAATAGCAGTGATACGTAAACCAGGTGGATTTGGCACTATATCACACATAGACAATTGTTATGGTTTAAATTTAAAACACGCGTCCTCACCCCCACTGTGTATGGAAAGGGACTGGGCGATGGTCCTGCATACTCATCAGAGGATTCTGTAGCTGAGTGTGCTCCTAGGAGGTGGGCCCCCATTGGAGGCGGGTCGCTGTGATGTGACCTGAAAGGATCCATTCTTATCCCCTTTCCTTCCTCTTCTTTCTACTTCTGGGCCACGCAAGGTTGAGCATCTTTCTCTCTGCAAGGCTCCTCCTCCATCTGTGTCTGCCTTGGAGCCAGCCGACCCTGGCCTAATGCCAGTTCCTTCCTGCAAATATAGGTGTGGGTATTCTGTCTCAGCTACAAGGAAGTGACTAAGATGACATTTTACATACTCCATCCACTTGATGTCTTACAAACATGCCAAAAATATTGACTGTAAGGTAGCTGCCCTTGTCCTTTATCGGAGAATTTGTTTTAGTTACTTGCATTCAAGCGTGGTCCAAAAGTAATAAATGGAAAAATGAACAGCAAAGCTTTCTAACTTCCCTACTGCACTCTGCTCAGGATGTGAATCACCCTTCGGTCAGTGTGTCCAGGTGTATGTGCTGCTCACCAGTAACTGCTCAGCCGTTGGATTCCCTGCCCGAGTACTGGAGTGCGTGTGTTCTTGTAACCTTCATTTTATTAGTCATGGCCCTAAAGTACAAGAGTAGTGCTGCTCTCAATCTTGCTATAATCAATCTATTTTATTGTTAATTGTCATGGATAATAACATACTGTGACTGATCTATAAATTAAACTACTATAGGTATAGACATAGTAAAGTCAAAATATATGTACATAAAACTATATACATATGTAATCATATATACACATACATCTGACTCAGTACTCTGTGGTTACTGTTTTGCCCATCTAGATTTTGAGTCTAGGACAATTAAGTTGCCACAAACCTTATTGGAGGGTAAATTTTAATCCACTCTTACAAAATAGCATGAAAAAACCAATTTTATTCTACCATGCTGTATTATTTCTCAGTAACATCAGCTCCTATTTGAGTATATAATTAGTGTTCAAAACTGATCTATTTGATGTAATTTTACTTGATTAGTGTTTAATATTTTATACTTTTTAATTTTTGTTCAATATTTAGTTTACAAAAGTTATTGAGTATAACTAATGTTGCAATGTAAATAATGAATATTTAATGCTTTGAAAACATCTCAGGAGGGTTAAAAATAGAGCAATTTATTAGCATGAACGCTTTTCTTTATTCACTTATCTGGTACATTTAACACTTTTATCAGAATTATTCAATTGTATTGTAGCAATAAAAGGGAGTAATCATATAATTCTATTATTTTCTGTTGTAGACAACGTAACTATGGAGGGTAAATGGTCTTGGCTACTGTCCATTCATAATCTCAATTTGATTTTAAAATCCCTTTTATTGTAGACTACCTAGGTACATAAATAAAGGCAGGAATTGTCCCAGTTATATTTAAAAATAATATGTAAATGTTGATAATTAGGTATCATTTGTTTATCTATTTTCTTGTTGGTTGTAATATTAGAGATGAAACCTAGAATCTTTTACATGCTAAGAAAGTGTTCCACCACCAAGCTGCATCCTCTGCTGTAAAATTAGGTACTATTTTAATTGGAAACAAAAAGCCTCTTTCCTTTTAAATGCAAATTAGAATGTTGCTCTTGTTAGAAATATTGAAAATTCAAATTTTTTTCTAATTCACTACCATAAGTCACACAGCATAGATTTTATTTTTGTTAAAAAAATACGATTCCTACTAAAATAATATAAATAGTATGCTATTATATTAAATAATAGTGCTGCTGTCAATAGCATATTATAAATAGTATGCCATTAACATTAGGAAGATACGTTGACCAGGGGAAAGTAAATACTTTAAGAGGTTCACCGAAGGAGCATTTTAATGATTAACTTCAACTGTGCTACACAGTTAAGTTTACAGTTTATTTAAAATTTATATATTTCTCCTGTTTTAGCTGTCCATTAAATTTGACATAGTCAACATTTCTAAAACCCAGAATGCATAGCAAGCAAGAATGCTAAGGTAAAATGAGCTGAATGCTTGTGTAGTTTCTTAGTGGTTCAAAGTAATTTGATGTATTTCATAACCAACAAGGGATTAATGATTTGCTGCTGGAGTGCTGGTGGAATTTTACCAGTATAAAGGACCAGGTAAGGGCAACCGGAAGTCCAGCCCACTATTCACTGCTCCTCCTTAATGGTTGCAGTGAGTTTGTTTGGAGCACTGCCAACTACTTTGGGCACCATTTACTTCTTTGGCTGTAAATACACCAAAGGTTGTACTTTTTCCAGCTCACATAAAGATTCATTCAAGTTATTGGAAATCTGAATTCTAAGAAAAATTAAAATGTCAAGGACCTGGACGCTAACTTCCAGAGGATGTGTATAGGTGCACTGCATACTTAGCAGGGTAGTGCAGAAGAGAGGCAGCTATATAGAAATGAAATTTATGTTTTCGTGAATAAAACAATATTATTGTATTAAGGAGTTTTTTTTCATGTTTAATTTTATTTTGCAGAAGAGGACTGTCAGAAGGACCTAGAAAGCCCAGTGTTGCTGTGAAAAACAAAGACCTTTTGCCTACATATTTTACAAGAAACGTGCAGAAAGCCATTGATAAATATACCAGGTAAGAATTAACCTGTTAAATGCTGCTAGCTAAAAAAAAAAAATGCCCATAAAAATGTAGGAAACAGTATCAGTGAGTAGCCACATGAATCTCTGAAAGTGAAATGCAGGCTGGAGTAGTGGCCCAGCCTGTAATCCCAGCACTCAGAAGCCTGAGGTGAGAGGATTGCTGCAAGTTTGAGGCCAACCTGGACTACATAGTGAGTTCATTGCCAACCTGGACTGCATAGCAGACCCTGTCTCAAAAAATGAGTGACTATGGTATATTGCCAAAACATTCTGAAATGAGTGCACAGTGAAATTAACAATGCTTTGAGGAAAGTCTAGAGCAGTCAGGTCATTTACTTGAGGCACAGTACAACCTCTGCATTACTGCACGTGATATTCCCGTTGTTTGTGTTCATTTCTGCAGTGAATCCCCATCGTCATTCTCGTCCAGTGGAAGCTGTACACCCACAGAAGCCCACAACTCATGGGATGGGTCTTCAACACAGAGTTCCACCACTGGCTTATCTACAGAGAGGAGCTCAATTTATTCTTGGAGGGATGATGTATGTCTCAGAATAGTTTGGATAAATCTGTTATTACAGTTGATGAAGAATTACTTTCATATGTTCAAGAATACGTCCTCATTTATAAAAGCATTATCACTTACATCCTTACATACATATGAGTATTTGATGTTACATGTAAAAATGGTAAAATAATGGAATACAAAGAACAATGAAAGTTACTCACAATCTCATAGCCCAGAGTCTTAGCTATTGGTAAGTTTGTTTTGTCACCCTTACCTTGTGCCCCATTTCATTTTATGATTTTTTACCTGTGGCTGAAGTTCTGGAAATTAGGAATGCTAAATGTCTGGCAATTAGGAACACAAGCAAGAGAACAATTTTTGAAAAGTAAAAACTGAAACACCTCCATAATTAGGGACTACCCTTTTTTATTCTAAACCCACATTTTAGTTTTATTTTCTAACCCTATGGGAAGCTCTTCACTGTAATTGTACTTTGGTTCTTTTTGAATGTGCAGTCTTAGCTGCCAAAACTCCAGCTGGACATGCACTGCGGTGCTTTTTCCTAGGAGAAAACACCACCTGGAGCCCATGGTGCAGGGTTGCTTCTCCTGTTATAGAATTCCCCAAGGCAAACAGGAGAAAGATAGGTTGATCTCACCCTCATAACTGAGGATTTTAAAGAGTCTTTATCCATTAGAAGAAGGTTAATGACTCTTTTTACAAAAACAATTTCTTTTTTTCCATTGTATCATCAGAAGAAGAAATAGCTTGTATTTCACAAATGGACGTGGTACATTAAGCACAGCTATATGAAGGACATGTCTGTGGGTGTGTCTGAGTGTGTGGGGGTGTGAAGTGTATGTGGGTGTGGAAGTGTGTGGAGGTTTGAACATCCATGCTGATGTCTGTAGGTGGGCCTCGCCCACACCTATGTATCTGTTATGTGAGTTTCAGAAACAGTGAATGCTTACGTTTACAAGCACTATTACAGTAGTAGAACCATTGCCATTCATGACTCCTCCTTTGAACATGCTTACCCTATGTTCTTGGGTGTCCTGCTTTGTAAGACTCTTAATTATGCTGTCGTCATGCTGTGATGTCCTAAATCGATTAAAATATTTACTTTTGATGGTAATTTTGACTTTGGGAAAGAGCAAGAAGTTACAGAGCTCCAGATGTGGTGAATAAGGTGGATAAAGCCACACCAGAGTGTTTTTATTTGACAGAAATTTCCATGAAAGTTAATTGACTCAGAGCATCAAGGCAGCCATTGAAAAGCCACTCATGAAAGAAGAAGTCCGGAACTGCTTCAGAAAGTGGCAAGAGTGACAGGATGAGTGTGTTCGAATTGAAAGGGAGTATATTTAGGGTATTAATTGCAGCATGTCTTTTTCTATAATACTTACTTAAAGTGTTTAAGTATTTGCTCTATTTTTGTCACACTTTATATGTAAAACCTCAAATAACTCTTATAATGCACATAGTAGAAGTCATCTCTGTTACAGTTAAGAAATCTGAGCAGGATATGTAATATTTGCCATGAGATGTAATTGATCAAAAAGTAATAATGGGAGTACATATGTCTGTCAATGTACAGGTCCACATTCTTGTCACATTTCATGTCATATTTCCTTCTGTATAATGTTACTTTAAATTTATAAATGCCACCTATTGTGAAAACCGTATTTGTATAACTCATAACTAACTGCATTTCTGTTATAGGAATTCGATAAAGCCAATGCCCAGAAAGTGCAACAGTTATTTTGGGAGGTGGAGGAAATGTTATTCGAGGGGAAAGTAGGTGCCCAAACCCAGAACCTGCTGGCTGAATGCAGTGAGTGGGCAAGCAGAGCCCTCCATCTGAGGTAGGGATCTCCTCTGAAGGCACTTCCTGATGTGGGCTTTGTAGGCATTCTTCCCATCGATGTGATGCACATTTTGATGGACTGAGTTGACCCAATCGAATAGGTGCCCAGAACACAGGCATTTACTGACAAGGGCCATCCTGTCATTTTGGTGCTCTGGGAACTACCGACACATGACATGACCCATGTACACTGTCACTGCTGAGAAACATGACCCATGTGCACTGTCACTGGTGAGAAACATGACCCATGTGCACTGTCACTAGCTCTTGCTCCTAAAGACATGGCGTCCATAGGTGACACATGCAAGCCAAAGGGGTGTTTCACCTTCACAGAAGATAGGTGTGCAATAGGTGTCTGTCCTTACAGAGAAAAATTTGAGGTGGGCTCAGGTGGGCAGAGCAGTTATTTTCTGAGAGACTGGACAGCAGAACCTTTCCACCTCATCACCATTTCTGGCATAGGGGGTGATGCTATATAAATGGGCTTTGCATGTCCTAGCTAGATTGACTAGATAGCTTCACAAAAAAACAACTATTTTTTTTTTCTTTTCCGTCCTTCATTATCCCCTGCCTTACAGATATATTATACCCTACTAGATAGTAACTGTAGATGTGTATGTTTTGGGGAATGGTACACTTACCAAAAAGTAGGGAGATCAGACTTCATCCTGTCACTGTTATCTTGTAGTTAGGATTAAAGTGGAGAGAAAATAGAGTCATGAGGTGCATGAGCCACATACATATTTATATATACACATATATATATGTAGTATATATGTATGTATATGTGTGTATATATGTATATGTATATATGTAATTATGTATGGGTATATATTTATGCAATATACTAATATGTACAGAATTTCTCTGTGTCCATCTTTGCTTCAGACACCTGAGTCTGACATAGGTTATCTATAAACTGTTTAACACACCTACAAGGTAATTCTGATTCTGTTTTGTATCTGAAAACAAACAAGTAAATGAAATCAGTGCCAGAGGGAGGGGAGGAAGACTTTACCTCAAACTCTTCCTTAGTCTGTGATCAGAAGAGGCCATCCTGTCTTCTCAGACAATTGCCTTTTTCTCTGTAACACCATGATGCTTTTCCTGAGCCAATGCATACTGCATTGTGAAATGCCTGTGTCTGTAAATTATTATACCTTACTATTTATTTGGTGTGGTTCTGGGGATTGAAGCCAAGGACTTCACACAGAGCTACTTCCCAGTGCTCTCCACCTTTTGATTGATTGATTGGTTGATTTTCTGAGATAGGGCCTGGCTATGTGTCTATGTAACTCAGACTGAGCATGAAACTTGCAGTCCTTCTGTCTTGTTTTCACACATCGCTAAGACTGCAGACACCACACTCCACCACATTCAGCTTATACCCTAATTAAAAGCTATAAGACCTTTTCCCCTTATCTGGTCAAGTGTTAGTAACTTCTTTTTCTCTCTTGCAGAGTATTAGGAAGACAGCTCATCCTGCCAACTGATGAAGGATTCCAACACTTCCAGGGCAGCCTGCCAACTCCTGCCAGCCACAAACCCTTATCTGATGCCCCTGAACCCGACAGCAACATCAGAGAGTATGTTCACATACGTCATTTTCCAAAACTATTTGTAACTGTATTTTAGTCATCATTTTTGATTCATCTCACTCATGATCCTCAGCTCCAACAAATATGCAGATTTAGATTTCAATGCTTGACCGGTACAGTGAATGATTTTTACAAGGTGTTTCTGATTCCAAGTCGATGATGATGATGATGATGATGATGATGATGATGATGATGATGTGTGTGTCTCCTGTGTGTGTGTGTGTGTGTGTGTGTGTGTGTGTGTGTAAAACATTCAACACGGTTCCAGAGGCACTGGTAAGGTGGAATAGATACAGAATCAAACTCTACCTCATTATGACAGGTCCTAAATGTTTTTCAAAAATAATTTTATTGAGAAGCAAATAGCAATGAGACAGCTTCAAAACTGAGTATTAGGACAGTTTCAATAATTAATACATTGCATATGGTTGTCTTCTTAGTGATTATTCATAGTACAAGATGCAGACATGATATCCTGTCCAAACACTATTAGTACAAATCTTTCTTCTCACTGAATTCAGAGAAAGTAGCTTTATATTCCTC